AACCACAGTCACTTGGGGGGCTGAAAATCAATAAATACTATTTTTTTTTTTTTTAAAATCATCCGCTATACGTATATAAATAAATTTATATACATATAGCGGATGATTTTTTTTTTTTTTTTTTAATTAGTATTCATTGATTTTCAGACTGTGAGCGAAACCAAGCGAGCTACAGAACTGCAGCCAGTGAGTGTCTGTTGTCACTTCTGTCCCACTAAACATAGATGTTGGACAGGTGTTTAGCAAAATTTGTGTGAGCAAATTTGGGTGAGCAAAATCAGAAAAGATTTACTTACTCCCCGAACGCTAACACCTAGAACACGTCTCACCTCAAGATATGTTCATTGTGATTTGGTTCGTTGGACTTAGTGCCAAATTCTCTACTCGATCGCGTAGCTCACCGTCATCAGAGATATTCACATTGGAAGACAGCCCACGACTCATATCTGTGGACGTAGAGCTGTAAATATTTATATTGTCTCCCAATCCTTGCGTCTCATTGCCGGTATCAAGTTCAGTTCCGACAACTGCCATTCGTTCATTCAAGTTTTTGTCCGCCATTTTGAATAATAAAGAGAGCTTTGTGTTGTTCAAACGTCGAGGGCGTACTTTTCACAGTCCGTCTATTTTGGACTTCGACTGGAGAACTTCACTTGTACGAATGAACAAAGAAAACGCATAATTGTGAGAGTGTTATGGAAAATACGAAAAAAAAAAACACTATTGTTTTATCTTTGTATTGTTTGTTTCGCGGCCTATCCGGTTTTCGCCATTTATACACTCAAATAATATTTTATTTTATTGAAAAAATACAAACAAGTAAACAAGTGACTGTATGCAAATGTAATATTTATTGGTTTACTTGTTGTCGTCTCTAGTGCCAATATTTTGGATATAATTTGTGTTTACTTTGTCATCACTGCCCTGTAGTGCTGAAGCTCGTGGATTATCGGGAAAGCTATCTGAAAAGTTGCAGGAAAGGTTAAATTGAAAAACCAAACATTGTCTTTCATAGAGAAAAAGTTGTCAGATTAAAAATGTTGCACTGAATTTTAAAAGTATGAAAAGTAGTCTTTACATTCACGGTCGTAAGAGCATCAAAAGTAAGAAACGTTGCTTGGAAAAATGTCAGGAAATCAGAAAAAGTGGCTCGTAAAGGCTTTAGTAGTCGGAAAAGCTACCAGGAATGGCTTTAAACTTGTCTGAAAAGTTGTTCGAAAAGACGTTGGAGTTGTTTGAAAAGACGGAAAAGTTGTACGGAAAGTTGCGGGCACCTCTATTTTTACATAAGCCCATTTTCATGTATATGACCATGGACAGTACTATACTATGTTTCTATACTGTAATGATTTGATGTAACCGTTTCTATAAGTTTTGTTTTGGTAATCGTGGAGTTACCTTTATAGTTAACCAAAACATCAAGAACTTATAATGCTCTCAAGTCTTCCGCATTTTAGTTTCAATAGTTAAAATTAATATTTCGTAACTAGCTGAAGGGGCCGTGTTGTCTGCTTCGGCTTAATTTGCATGGTTCAGACAGCAATAGGCGCCAGTACGGTATGTTATCAATGCACTTGTTCTAACGCCGGTTAACAGCAGGTGTTATACTGAGCCAAGTTGTTCGTCACAGTAATATTTGAGCTTGTGAGTGCGGACCAAGACGGATGCGGTCTATCGATTTGTTGATTCAAAACCTTACGCCCACAACTAGTACAAGTAAACGGGGAGTCAAGTAAAATGGCACAGCTGTCTGGTTTAATGGGGGTAAGCACTTTTATTTTATTATTTTTTCTCTGGGAGTTTATCTTTAAAACCATGCCAACATTTGTAACCTCAAGTTAAAACGTCAATAACTGTGCTCTGAATCGTCAATGAACACGTACAGTGAGCGGCCATATGTCGCAGTGACGTCATATACTAGGGTACGCTTCGACCTGCAAACGTTGACGTGATTGTCGCCTCGGGTTCTTAACAGTGTCTTATGTTAGGCAGCATGTAAACCCATGGCTGGTTAATAATCGTGTACATAATATAGTTGAGACGTTTTCTATAGCTTTAACATGGCGACAAATGCACGAACTACGGTTGTGTCGGAGGCATCGGCGTATGCCACCCACGACATGTACACATGACCCTAACCCACACAGGGCTATGAAATAAACCTATTTTTAAATAACAAAAACGATAACAATTTATCACTAAATTTTAGCTTTCCACACTATATTATAAATAAATATTAGTAAATACAACGAATAATTGTCACGTGACTTTTGTGCTGAGACATGTAAACTCGCTGCAGATTGGAGTCTCAAGAACGATGAGCGCCACCTGCGGTGACGCATGGTTACACCCATAAGTGCTCCGGCAAGTAAATATACAATTTTGTTGTTTGCAGTGCAGATTTCATCGTTTTGTTTGTTTGTTTCCTTGAACACATGATGATGGTGTTTGGGGTAATTTGGACCTAAGCACTTTTGCGAAGTTTTATTCACTGTGACAAAAAAATTAGGTCATTCAACGTTGTGAGGCACCAATACGGCCGTAAAATCCTCCTCCAATGCACCGTCCCTCAACACAGTGTCTAATGTTAGTCAGTATGTAAACCTATGGCTGTGTTGAGAGACGGCCTCCAATGGCACTTGATCACTTGATAATAATTTCATGATTGATCTGCTAACATGTGGTGCGTGGACAAAATTAGCTCGGTCTTTAAAGAGGAAAAGATTTTACACAGATATGTAGATTCATCCATGAACCCTGAGAAAGAGTACGTTTCATAACAGAATTTGACACTGATAGAGCAAACTGTAACCAACCATCCAATTGAAACAGCTCACTAGCAGTGCCAGGGTGGGACTTGTCATTGGCCGATGTGGGACCTACATGATCTCTACCTGACCTTCAAGATAGATTTTACCGCCTTTACTCCAACATCTTGCAAGAGCAAGATTTTAAGAATCAATTCCTCAAATCAATCTGCCATCAGGTTGGAAGATAAATCACTGGAAGAGGTTGAAAGCTTTACATATCTGGGAAGTAACGTGGATAAACAAGGTGGGACAGATGCAGATGTAAGAATAAGGATAGGGAAAGCAAGGAGAGCATTCCATCATCTAAATAACATATGGCGATCTACAAAACCACCAAGAAACATTAAAATACGCATCTTCAACACAGTTGTCAAGCCGGTCCTCCTATATGGTGCAGAAACATGGAGTACTACTGTTGCCATTATTAGGAAAATACATGTACAGACCTTCATCAATACTCGTCTTAGGCGTATCCTCAGAATTTTCTGGCCTGAGGTAATTAGTAACCAAGACTTGTGGGAGATTGCTCATCAGCAACCCATGGAGGCAGAGCTCTTGCAGAGACGATGGCGGTGGATTGGCCACACCCTACGGAAACCAATGCCTAATATTACTAGACAGGCATTGACTTGGAATCCTCAAGGAAAAAAGAAGAGGGGAAGGCCTCGTAACTCATGGCGCAGAGACATGGAGGCAGATGTTAAGAAGATGGGCCGCACATGGAAAAAACTGGAGACGCTGACTCAGGATCGCTCTGCCTGGAGGAACCTGGATGACGGCCTATGTCCCAGGAGGGGCGATAGGCGTAAATAAAAAATATATAAAATACTCCAACATAGTTTTTAGTATTCCAACTGCGTGTCTAACTCTGTTGTAATGGATGTCGAGGATCCAGACTCCCATCCAGGTGCAGCATGATATGCCAACACTGTGTTCTACTGAGAAAGGTTTGGCAGACCAATACCATCATATTGTATGATAATAGTTTATTTTCTGCTAATGGAACAATTCAAGAGAATAGTTGACACAACTGGTTAAGTTGAGACCAAGAATTGGCTAAATTCTTGAAATAGTGAATTTTATAACATAATTTTCATTTCTTATTATCACGCGAAGGTATTGGGGAGGGGGAGCTGATTTTGTGATGTTCTGCTTCCATCGATTTTGTTGATTTTATTTTACTCCAGAATAGCTAAAATAATCATTAAGGTAATGTGAAATAGGAAATAGTTCACTATTACTAGGATATGTGATAGAAAGTTGTAAAACAGTAAACAGTCTGGCATTCTGATATGCACATGTTTTGATTTATACGTGTTATTATAGATACCCATAAATATACTTTGTAAAGTATGTACTGGCATATTATTACTGTTTAAGTCTTATTGTTCTAATATATCAAATATAATAACAAGAAACTCATGGGCATCAATTTCCATAACAGAATCAAATAGTTCAGTACTTTCAATGTACTTCTGTAACCATGCTGCACTATTAAAACTGTTGATACCCAAATACATGTGGATTATAAATGATTCTCGTTCACATGACAAACAAGACAGTGTTTTATTTTTTTGCCATTGATGGGTTTTTGATTTGGTATGAATGTAGCTTGCGAATGCTAATACTTGTAACATTTTGATAACATGTCAAAGGTTTTGTAACCCAGCACAAGGGAGTCCATTTATAACATCTATCCAATAAGTACTCACAATATTCTTTTGATACAGGTGAAACTGATTTGGTAATTGCATTACATTTGTAGATATTTCTTTTTGATTTGTTAGTCTGTTAAGTTTGTGCATTATTTGGTCCATAAAATTCATGGGTAACAACATTCTACATGATTAGCTGACTGGGGAAATATTTCACTATTTCTTCAAGGTTTTTTTGTTTACTGTACTGTTGAGGCTGTGACTCGCATGCTCTTATTTCAGCATGTATTTACGATTTTGTTCACGTTTTATTCTAAAACTCTTTTTCTTAAGTCGAGGCATTCTAAATACCGGGTAATAATAATATTAGATTGACACTTATATAATTGTGCAAAGTTACATGTTGCTTAATAGTCTGGAAATTAGCAAATACTGCTCAATAAACAATAACAACTACTACCCCCCGGTTTATATGCCAACTTATCATATAATTATCGTATGTGACTTAAACTGATTGTACAGTAATAACTTTTCAAAACTTATTGCACTGAAGAATACTGAATATGCTTTATAACAACTTATAGTATAATTATTATATGTGAATTCTAGGATATATCCTATTGTACATGTACAGTAGCAACTTTACAAAACTTATTGCACTCAGTTCATAGCTCACTGAACAATGAGGACTACCCTACGGTAGTACTGAGTACAACTGCTTACAGTAGAATATCATCCTATAATGTTTAACAAACTAAGTAAACTAAAAGAATTGTGTTTGTACTGACGACAGTACCAAGCTCACAGTTAAACTGTCAAGCAGTTGTTGATAACTGTGTTTGAAAATAAACTTTGAACAGATCTAATTACCATACAGTGACTTCACACAAATGTCAAATATTAACTAGAGTAAAAACAAAGGCATTTTTCTATAATGAACTTAAGATGGCACTGGTTCCAATAAGATGAAATGTATACGTAATAACAATGGAAAACAATGGAAAATTCCAAAGGATTTCAAAACAACTATTACACCATGGATTTTCTCGTTAAATCGTGATACAGATTAGTAGGGTTGAATTTCAAAACATTAAAA